ACATTATGGCATGGCCAATGGCCTGCTAACTCCACTGATCTCTGTACATTATGGTATGGCTAATGGCCTGCTAACTCAACTGATCTCTGTACATTATGGTATAGCCAATGCTTGCTAACTCCACTGATCTCTGTACATTATGGTATGGCCAATGATTGCTAATTCCACTGATATCTGTACATTATGGCATGGCTAATGGTGTGCTCCACTGATTTCGGTACATTATGGCATGGCCAATGGCCTGCTAACTCCACTGATCTTTGTACATCATGGTATGGCCAATGGCCTGTTAACTCCACTGATCTCTGTACATCATGGAATGGCCAATGGCCTGTTAACTCCACTGATCTCTGTACATTATGGTATGGCCAATGATTGCTAATTCCACTGATCTCTGTACATTATGGCATGGCTAATGGTGTGCTCCACTGATTTCGGTACATTATGGCATGGCCAATGGCCTGCTAACTCCACTGATCTTTGTACATTATGGTATGGCCAATGGCCTGCTAACTCCACTGATCTCTGTACATTATGGTATGGCCAATGGCCTGCTAACTTCACTGATCTCTGTACATTATGGTATAGCCAATGGCCTGCTCCACTGATCTTGGTACATTATGGCATGGCCAATGGCCTGCTAACTCCACTGATCTCTGTACATTATGGTATGGCCAATGGCCTGCTAACTCCACTGATCTCTGTACATTATGGTATGGCCAATGGCCTGCTAACTCCACTGATCTCTGTACATTATGGTATGGCCAATGGCCTGCTAACTCCACTGATCTCTGTACATCATGGTATGGCCAATGATTGCTAACTCCACTGATCTCTGTACATTATGGCATGGCCAATGGCCTGCTCCACTGATCTCTGTACATTATGGTATGGCTAATGGCCTGCTAACTCCACTGATCTCTGTACATTATGGTATAGCCAATGGCCTGCTAACTCCACTGATCTCTGTACATTATGGCATGGCCAATGGCCTGCTCCACGGATCTCAGTACATTATGGTATGGCCAATGGCCTGCTCCACGGATCTCAGTACATTATGGTATGGCTAATGGCTTGCTAAGTCCACTGATCTCTGTACATTATGGCATGGCCAATGGCCTGCTAACTCCACTGATCTCTGTACATTATGGTATGGCCAATGGCCTGCTCCACTGATCTCGGTACATTATGGTATGACCAATGGCCTGCTAACTCCACTGATCTCGGTACATTATGGTATGACCAATGGCCTGCTAACTCCACAGATCTCTGTACATTACGGTATGACCAATGGCCTGCTAACTCCACTGATCTCTGTACATTATGGTATGGCTAATGGCCTGCTAACTCCACTGATCTCTGTACATTATGGTATGACCAATGGCCTGCTAACTCCACTGATCTCTGTACATTATGATATGACCAATGGCTTGCTAACTCCACTGATCTCTGTACATTATGGTATAGTCAATGGCCTGCTAACTCCACTGATCTTGGTACATTATGGCATGGCCAATGGCCTGCTAACTCCACTGATCTCTGTACATTATGGCATGGCCAATGACCTGCTAACTCCACTGATCTCTGTACATTATAGTATAGCTAATGGCCTGCTAACTCCACTGATCTCTGTACATTATGGCATGGCCAATGGCCTGCTAACTCCACTGATCTCGGTACATTATGGTATGGCCTATGGCCTGCTAACTCCACTGATCTCTGTACATTATAGTATGGCTAATAGCTTGCTAAACTCAACTGATCTTGGTACATTATGGTATGACCAATGGCCTGCTAACTCCACTGATCTCTGTACATTATGGTATGGCTAATGGCCTGCTAACTCCACTGATCTCTGTACATTATGTTATGGCTAATGGCCTGCTAACTCCACTGATCTCGGTACATTATGGTATGACCAATGGCCTGCTAACTCCACTGATCTCTGTACATTATAGTATGGCTAATGGCCTGCTAACTCCACTGATCTCTGTACATTGTGGTATAGCCAATGGCCTGCTCTACTGATCTCTGTACATTATGGCATGGCCAATGGCCTGCTAACTCCACTGATCTCGGTACATTATGGTATGGCTAATGGCCTGCTAACTCCACTGATCTCTGTACATTATGGTATGGCCAATGGCCTGCTAACTCCACTGATCTCTGTACATTATGGTATGGCCAATGGCTTGCTAACTCCACTGATCTCTGTACATTATGGTATGACTAATGGCCTGCTAACTCCACTGATCTATGTACATTATGCTATGGCCAATGGCCTGTTAACTCCACCGATTTCTGTACATTAACTTTACTGATCCATGCTCTCATGGAGAGAGTACACCTCTCAAAATGCAATACAAATTTTATATTCAGATTTCTAATTAAATTTGTTCTTAAAAATGTTTGAAATGATATTTGTGTTGTGTACAAGTAGACGATTTGTGACTGCAATTACAATAATAGAAGTTTTAAACTCTGACCAACCAGTCTGGAAAATATATAAAAGGTCTATTCAATGGAAAATGCATTGGATACATGTAACTTCACTTTCACTGATCATGAGTAATGCAAACGTTAAGTATGAATTACCTTGGGTTGCTGGTACAATTTTCCCTTCACAATTAATAACTGTTTGTCCACTTGGTAAAATAGGCACAATATTAGAACCATTGCAGTCTCCATTCACTTTAGGCACACCATTACTTGTTTTGCTGGCATTGGCACTATACAATAAAGTACGGGTTTTATCTGAAAATACAAATATTATGTTATCGGTAATAATAATAATTTAAAGTTGATTAATATTATAATTACTTTAGTCTGAAACTAAGGAAATCAAGGTATAGTTGTCTACAACTTACGTATGGATTAGATGCACACATTGTTTACAGTGTGTGGTAGAAACTTGTAACTGAATTAGTTTATAAATGCATTGATAAATATTTGTAAATAACATTCCACGGCTAGTACATAATTGTGATTGGTTCAAGATCTCAATATTGTGTAGACCCATATTTTGTGCACATGGCTTCCATCATATATGCCTGTGATATACCAAGTTGGTGGCTGCAGATTATTGTCATATTCAGATGATAATAATAATAATAATAATGAATTTATTGTTATTTCTGATTTCAAATATTTTGTATAATATGATGTTGATATACTAGGTAATTAACTTACATATTTTTGTTCACTACACTATATTATTCATGAAATGTACTTTCAATCACACTCACACACACACACACACACATCTTATTTTATCATACATGTGGATATTTTGGCCTGCTTCCGATTTTATCGCAATCTGGTCTGTGACCATGAATGAGATTCAACCAATAGATCTAGAATCGCCATGTTGTTATTTATATGACACCATTTTCATCAGTGAATGACTGCGGTTAGCACTCACCGTAAACGGCTTTCATGTTTTCTTCCTTCGACTCATTCATCTGTTTGTCGCCAACATGCGTCTTGAGTTGCAGAGGACTCGAATACTCCTCGGAACGGGGTCTTTTCGGCATCTTTTGAGAGATAAGTATACCAAAACAAAGTCCCAGTAATAGCAAGACGCTTACTTCCTAACCACATGTCAACCAAGATGTCAACCTGTCAATATGCGCCCTCTAGAGTTGCACTTATTATTTGTTTCTATATGAATACGATTAGTTATACTATTGATTGGAGCTGGACATGAACGCTAGACATATTTAGTACAAATGTTTTTTGATATAATAAATCAAATTTATATTTGCGATATTATTAGAACTGTACTCAGACAAACTATAGATATGATCACAGAGGGCGCTATTACTAAAAAAAAGTTTGAGGCAACAAACGAACAGCGCTTCAAATAATGGCGGCTGTGGTAGCCCTTCTTCTCCAAGGCAAAGTGTTGCCAAAAGATGTGATCATTTGGTTGAAAAAAGAGCAAAAGCAGGTAAAGTATAAAGTACATAACCATTTTCTCTACGTACTTTGGTGGTTTAACCACGATTTTCTACCACACCAGTTTGAACTGTTTTGAAGTTTAATCACCACCCACTGTCACTGTCACCGAGTGTGACTGTCAATCTAATCCAGTGAGCAATTGATTATTAACATTTGTGCGTGATTCATACGTGTACAGGAATTTGGCATCAACTATGCTTGTTTATATTGATTTAAGCCATATGTATCACAATTATGTTGTTTTTCACGTCCAAAACTTGTTTCTTGTAGGCGTAAATTATTTTGTTTTATGAACATTTATGAATAATTATAAAACACTTCTCATCACCCTTTAAAATTCAAAAGTGCTTTCAAATAACATTTGTAATGTCCATTACTCACGAGTGTTTGGGTTCTTCAATCATTTGAGAATTTACAATATCAAATTTGTATAAAATGTATGACATTACACTCGTAAAAGAATGCAAATACAAGCAGTACCATTATTGTTTGGTACAGACCATTAAATTGCAAGCCTGTATGTGTCAAAGGAGAGATTGATTGAACTGACTGCAGTCGTGTTCTATATATCCACTAAGGATTGTGATTGCATCGTCAAGTTCTTTTCAGTTACCATTTGAGATTTAGAAACATTTATAAATATTTTATATAAAATAAATACGTGCCTTCATGAAACCCGGTGTACTAACAATACAATGCTTTCAATATTTAATTATGCTTTATAAGCGTAAATATTTATAATTAATTTTAAAACTGCCATTGACCAATCATAACGATCGCCATAATGACACCATGATGAATACACACCCTTGAAAGGAATGACCCTGTCTGTATGTATGTATGTAGCGGTGTCACACGCAACGTAATATTACCGTAATTGGTATAGTACAGGTGTGATGGTTCAAATACCAAAATGGCAACAGTAACATAAAGACTTCCCTGGCGGCGATGATAACATACGAACACGGAGCCAACAGATGAGGTTTCAACTGGTACTGGTATTATTATACTCTGCAAACATCAAGTACAATAACGCGGTAAAACTCCAAACCTCCAATAACTATATACTTAAACTCCAACACAATTCAACGAGATCTCCGATCTGAACTCAGTGCTGAACAACTCCCCTATATATAAAGAGACCATTACATCAGCATACATAATGAGTCTGGAACTTACTACCAATTTTTAGAATGTTCCATTACCTTCTATTGCCTCCTACAGTGTTTTATTACCTATTCAACCATTTTCTAAAAAAAAGCTAGAATATTCCACCCAGACACAGTACAGTTCTAGAACATTCTCAGTGACACGGAAGTGGTAAATAAGTCGTATGCGACAAGCGGGAAGTTTGAAAATGACAGTGTACACTGCTGGTTGCTGTGGGTCCATAGCTCTTCTTGTGTAGGTCTTTCTGATAAATTATGTGTCTTTAAATTTGTTGTTTTTAGATATTAGGAATTTATCAACACTGTTCTTACCATAGATTTGTGTGACACAAATGAGTGACGCCAAACGGTATTGCAAATAAAAGTTGACAAAGTGAACAGGTCATTTGCTTCAGATGTGTTGTCTTTTGAGAGAATTGTACAAATAAATGTCTTTCCATGCATGTAGAATGTAGGGAAAATAGACAACAACAGTAAAATACCAAAACGCTCATAGCAAAATACTAATGGTAGCAGATGACCATTTCCTGACATTTTAGCTGTTACACTTTCCGAGGGAAGTTCTTATACAGTGACGTCATTTAGCCTTGGTCAACTTCAAAAGTGTAACTTATTTATTCTTATTTACAGGACTGTTCTACTGCATTGCAACTTCTAAATCAAACTAATTTGAAGTCAGAATTTGTTCCTTATCTTTTGGACAATTTGAGAGAACAAAGTTCACCTTTACTGGTATCAAGCCAGTCAAATGGTTGCTCACCAGTGAAGACACCTCGCTCACTTAGTAGATCCGCCAGCTCTACCAGGACCAGCTCTAATAGGGTACAATTGTTTGTTAGTCCAAATAAAAATGCTAGTCCAAGACTTCAGCTGACAACTCCAAAAACTGACAGACAATCAGTCACACCACGATCAGCGAAATCTGAAGATAGTTTCTCACGAAAAGAATTTGTGTATTCACCATACAGTCCTTACTTTGAGGATAGTAAACACAGAGACTCACATTACACACCTAGGCACAAATCATTAGCTCAAAGTAGGGATCATGCTACAAACCTATCACCAGAGATCTTGTTGCCAAGGGGATACCGGAAGAAAACTGGGGATGATGACAGGTATAAAGGTCAGTATCATCAGTCACCAGGAACAAAAAGAAAATCTGGGAACAAGAGACGTAGCAATGAACACAAACTGAAGTCTGTTAATGAGATACACCTTGACAGTTTAGAAGATTTTCCTCCAATAAGTAAACCTGTTGTCACCAGAAGAATCAAACCAACTCCAGTCTCTGGAGATCGATTACAAAACAGAACACAGACATTATTTACATCATCGCCATCACTACCCTCTGAACAATCTGCATTTACTGCCTCTGAAATCAATCATAACCAAATAGAAACGAAGACACTGTCAACACCATGTAAAGCATTGGATGAAGAAAGAGAATTGCTACGAATTGAAAGACAGAAGCAGAAAGTGGATGTAATTGCAGCAAGCCCTCATAAAAGTGAACTGCCATTAACAGGTCCAATAACTCCAACTAAATCATCTATTAACACAATGTGTAAGGTAGAAGTGATACAACCGAGAAGAGATAGAGTTACTTGTATCAACCAATTAAATCTCTTAGCTGACATCTATAGTTGCTGTGTACAAGGTATAGATACATTTAACATACTATGTCACTATTAAATATAATAACAATATGCTAATTGATGTGAACAATAGAAAGACATCAATGTTCAAAATAAATTGTGTAATTAAATATGTGGGTCTATATCCACTAAAGACTCGTTGTAATTTTCAGCCATTTCGAGGAGAGGATGAAACCGAAGGTTTGGGAATTTTGTTCAGCAATGAGTTGCAGTTTTCCAATGAACTTAATGTGCATACTTCCTTCTGCTCTGCTGTCAGCTAATGCAAAGCTAAAGGCTTATTGTCAAACTTCAGCTTTTAAGTTCTTATTTGGATGCAGTCCAAAAATAAGGTCTTATGGATTGAACTTATTTGCCATTTGTTATCTTGGCCATGCTAGCTTTGATCATATTAAAATGTCAAACATTACACATTACACATGCACATTGTTTCATGAATATTGAAGATGACTGAAATGGCGGCGTTTTGGGGGCTAAAAATTCATCAAAATCTAGCATTTCTGCCATTCTGGGATTGGATCGTGTATGAATGGATTTTGTTCAAACTTGGTACTTTGACATTATGGGGCCTTGTTGCATGTCATTTTGTTTTTCATTATAAGATTTTAATAAAAGCTTTTCCATATCTGTGACATACCCTAACTGTTTGTGTTCAAACTATGTTTCTTAAACTTGATAACTCACAGTGATGATGTAATGCAAAATGTTTGTTATTTCTAGAATTTCTGGTACCAAATATAACTGTAGAATTGTATTTTATAATACAATTATTAACGTCAAGATGCATCAGTGAAGAAACACTGTCTGAAGATTTTAGCCAAGATAGTGAAGAAATAAATTATCTCAGAACTGCTCATAACTGTGTTTTCTTTGCTGTTACTGTTTTGGCTAAACTACATGTACATAGGTGAGTTGCTGCCTTTATATCATTTACTAATTGTATCTTGGCTAAAAAAACTACATTTATTCTTTTTTGTCATTGACATCATAAATAATTGACTAGGATAACATTCAATATGGCCAACTGGTGGCCATTTTTTGTTTAGTTTTTCAAGCGTCCTTACCCATTTCTCTGACACATTAGAGTAGGGTCCTTCTTTTCTATAATTATGGATAAATAATCATGCAGCTTAATGATGAATACAATAGAGGTAATTAACATATTACATTGTTATGCAAATTTGTCACAGGATTATGTTATAATCCTGAGGAGAATAACTGAACAATTTATTCTTACTGATTATCATAAATAACAGATTTATTATTTAACTAATGGACATACCATGTTTGACTTCAGTCAAACAAGGTAAAACTATTACAAATAGGTAATGATTTACTGATGTACCTCACTTTTTTTCTGATTTCTTTTTTCTTTTCTGATTAATTTTTTTATAATTTAATCAACATTATCTATTTCTTCTGTTCAGTAACTGGATCTGATCTTGGGAGTGAATGGTTCAACTTAATTCATACATTTCTGTCTGGTTGCCAACAATAATGAATTAAGGTAGAGATGCAGTTTATTTGGCTTGCTTTTTAATTGAGTAATTAGACAATGAAGATGGTATTATATATCCAGCATGTTATATATTTTCTGAAAGCTTATTATACAAACTTTGTAAAACTTGTCTTTATTTTAAATATCCAGAATGCGTTTTTGATTTTGGGTCAAAAATATGCTTTTTTGGACAAAAGTGGTTTAAAACAAATTAGCTCAAAAACTTAAAGTCACTGGATACCTTGGTATACTACTAATTCAATTCCGTCCACTCATCTCTCTAACGGCTTTCAAAATCGCACAGCATGCCCTCAAAGTTCACTCTTTTCTATTTTTGCATAATTTATATATCCATGTTAATTGCGGACTTGTTATTTTTGTGCCACTCGCCCTAATAAACTGTCCGGATGCATTTTGAAGGGGGAACACCTTGTCAATAGAGTACAAAGTGGGATATTAAATTAATTATTCTTGATGATTTTTATGTAGTATTTAGAACTAACTCCAGGAAGCGAACGCACAATAATTGAATAATCGCGTAATCCTAGAATCGAAACGCGAGGCACAGAAGTTTTGTTCAGCGTTTCCAATCCCATTTTCCCACTGCAACATATTTGTTAAAAGAAATATTTGAATTCTGTTCGTTTTTTAAGGAGGCAATTTTTTATTTTTTCCGATTTTGGTAACGCCTTATTCAGGGATTTTCGCAGACAATCAGCGCACGGATGCTGTTGTACTACCAGCGACAGTCGCTGCAAGGAGAGAGCTCCAGCTTCTAACGACCGGTTTTAAATAATTAGTGTTGGAAATCTGACATGACATGAGTGCAAAATTAAGGTGCATTTTCGAGCGGTCGAATTTTTCTGAATAGAAATCAGCAAATGAAAAAATAGGAGTGCTAAACAGTGTGCTCGTTAGTTTTAAAAAAATGGAATGTCCGTCAAATTGACGTAAACTTCCCCATTTTTCACGGAAAAAGCAAAGGTTGTGGCCGAGTTGCAGGCTAAAAAACTCAAAAATCAAAACAAAATCATCAATCAGTAAGTATTATGACAAGGAAAACAAAACATCAGACGCGGAGAAGCGGTCAGCGCGTCAAAAGAGTTGTTACCGTAATGTATCAAGTTACCTCTCTCTGTGATTTATTTTTCATTGAAATTATTTGGTTGTTTTCAATTAATTTTAGCATACCTCTGCAATTTATTTTAGCATTGTCAGTTGTTTGCTTCATTGAATTAAACGGAGTTCGACCGGTTGCAAACAAAGCTGTCTCGCACCACCTAGCACCTAGCATTAGACAAAAGATACGTGAAAGTAT